CCTTTAAGAGGTCCAAGAATGTGCAAAATGTGTGTATGTTCACATGTGATTTGAGGATATATTCACAGAACAAAACTGTCATTAGATTCTCAAAGAGCCTGACTCCCTCCCATAAAGGTAAGAATTACAAGTCTAAAGAGGCACAGAAATAATTATAATACAGTGACATCCTGATTAGATCTCGGAGCCATTTCCTGCCCCGCCTCCCCAAACGTGCTTTGTAAGACGAACTCCTCTGTAAGAGATACTCCCTCTGTGTCTGGGTCAGTCCTTCTAATGTCAAAAGATATTTTAATACTACCTAGTAGCTTCCAAGGACTGTAAAGGGTCTGAGATTTTTACCCTACTTACAAGCTAACAAGTTAGCCTGACACAGTCTGATGGATGCTAGCAGAAGACACCAGGCCCCGGGGGCGGAGACAAAGGACGTTCTTCACAGCAATAGCAGAGCCAGAGTGTGAGCATGTGGGACTGCTTCCCGAGCCCCGGTTCTCACAAGGCCCCGTGGGGAGGGCCAGCTGACAATGGATATGCAATGGGCTGCCTTACAGAAGAGGAACCCTGAGATTAGGGAACTCAAACTTTTCATGATGGGCAGTAAGCCCCCCAGAAGGTGTTACCTCTGTTTTACTGGACAGTAGCATTGTTGCTAATTCCTCCACTGGCAGACACTGTCTCTATCTTCCAGAACTGTCCACTCTGCCAACATCCTTGAAAAGAGAGTTAGAGAGTCTGGAATAAAAGCAGGCAGCGCCTCTGCTCACGAGACGTGCACTCCTCTGGCAGGTAACTCGTACCCCCTTTGCCCTCTCCCCTCACTGATTTCCTGCCCTGCCCTGATTTCCACAGAGTGCACTCCAGAAATACATCCTGAATGTCTTCGATGGCACCAATTCAATCTAGAAAAACAACTGGGATTTTGTAGATGATTCTTTCTGGAGGGGAGAGGAGTCCTAGTTATGAATGAGGGAGACAGGCTAAGGGCAGAGGAGTGGCCCTGAGGTCAAAACATTGTGTGTTTCCTTCCAGCCAGATAATTTATGCCGCTGCCCTGGACGCAGACCCATCGTGGAGGGCGGGAGAAGTGTTAGTCCTGTGAGTCTGAAACAGCTGGGAGCTACTGAGCCTGCCCTTCTGGATTAAACAGCTAAGCATCACCCCCATTATGTGGGACTGGTTTGCAAGGAAAGCACAATATTGTGCATGAGAGATGCAGAGGTTTACCGCTCTGCCCTTCCCTGTGAAGGTAACTAGATATTTTTCTCAGAAATACAGACAGGTAGTGTCTTCTTGGCTTTTCTGAAGCTGAAGGTTATCAACTAGCATATTCTCAGTGAAAACGGATTAGGCCATCTTCCTCACATCTAACTTTGTGATCGGGAGAAACAGAGAAGAGCTTATTTCTCACACTGTCATTTCAGCAGCACATTTTGGAGAGTCATAGCCAAAGTGAAACATTTTTATGAAATAAATGCCTATATCCTTTCTGAACGTGGTTCCGTCTTTGATCAGTACTGATGGTCTGTGGGGAAGAGAGGAGAAGCCATTTCCATCTTTCGTGCTGCATGAAATCAATAGCCACTAAGTATATGTAACATCCATAGAGCATCCATTTCAGACCCTCCTC